TGAAAGCCTGTGCACACCAAAAAGGGGAAAACCACCAGGCTGGAAAAAGCTGGAAAACCATGAGCTGCTGTTAACAAGGTGAAGGTGAGCCTGGAGCACAGCACAAATGAGGAGGAATATTGCTGGGTGCAGATTTTTCTCAGTGAGTATGTAAAACATGCAAAATGAGTAATTTTATTGAAAGGAGAAAATGCCCATCAGCAAAGCTAAAACAAAACCTTCAAGCAAACTTAGTGGATGCTTGTGTTGAGCTACTTTGTGCAGTAAATGCACCTTCATGCACAGGATGTAGCTCAGGACCAGTGAAAACATCACTCTCCTACTCCAAACCCAGGACTGAATGTTTTCCTTCCAGTGGAAGGTGTCCCTGCCCATGGCAGGGGTTGGAATGAGATGATCTGTAAGGTCCCTTCCAAGCCACACCATTCTGTGTTTCGATGGAGCTGTGATATTTCCAGAAGATCTGTCAGAAATATGTTAAAGAAGCTCATGCACACTGAAAACCACACAAGCACATGTGAGGGTATTCATAAAGTGAGTTGAGTCTGCCACATTTCCAACAGAAATGCAGGGGTGCACCAGTTTCAGATGTGGGTTCACCTGTGCAAACCTGTCACTTTGTTATGGGGTTTTATGCATTTTGGTGTTGCACATTGCAAAAAGAGCCCACACTGTGTGAGCTGCTCTGTGGACAGGCACTGAGGGAAGTGTGCACCCCAAAGGGGTAATTCCATGATTCTGTGATTTGTGTTTGGGTTCTTTTCTCCAAAATCATACAATGCTTTCATTAAAGAGAAGGATTCTTTAATCCTTAGCCTTGATGACCTTTCTGATGACCTGAGCACAGGTACCTGCTCAGGGCTCTGACCAACCTGACCCGGCTGAAGATGTCCCTGCTCAGTGCAGGGACCAGATCACCTTTAAAGGTCCCTTCCAACCCAAATTAGCTGTGATTTACAGACCTGAGGCCAATCCCTGCCTGGCTGCTGGACAAGGAGGCTTGCAGGGAGACACAAACCTCAGATCTCCCCCACAAGCAGCTGGGCTGTCCCTTGTGAGCTGCACCTCTTTGCTGCACACAGAGTCAGCTTTTCTGTCCTGCTAGGAAGCAGCAATTCCCATTTCCCAGGCCAAGGGGATCCCTGCTGTGCCAGGATCCCTGGGCTGTCAGGGCTGCTGATCCATCAGCCTCTGGCTGAACTGCTGGGCTGGAAGTCAGCAACCAGCAAAGGTCACAAGGAGTCAACCACCACATCCTGGGCAGGCCAGCTGAGGGATGTGCAGGATTCCTCCTGTGGAAGTGCACTTTCAGGCTGGCTGTGGCTGGCTGGGATTGGAATAATCCAGGTTAACCAGTGTTCCCTGCTCATCCTGCCTGGGGCAGCTCATTAGCACCGTGCCAGTAATGAACACAACCCTGCTGGACCCTGAGGACACCTCCCTGCAGGGTGCTGCTCCCTGTGACCTTGCCAGCAGCGTTGCAATTTGTCATCTTCCCACCTCAGCAGGCTGAATCACTCGTTTGACACGTGCCAATCAGCAGAGTGCAATTAATTGGTTCAGCCACTGCCAGGAGCCCTTGCAGCCCTCGAGTGCAGAGGGGAGATGTGTCAGGAGGGTCATTTCCCAGCCTTTGGACAGTGCTGAGCACACACAGCCCTCCTGGCTGCCTCCTTGCCATCTGGGAAACTCATTAAAGCTTGAGGAGTTCTTCTCTAAAGCTTTGGCCCATCAGAGCACAAGGTCACTATAGCACTGCTCTGAGGTAATTACACCAACCAGAGGGATTTGCTTTCTCCTGCACAAATTAGCAAGTGGAGAAACTTAAGAAACCAATGTAGAACCCAACAGAATTATCCAGGTGATCCAGGTTTTTCAACTATGTATTTTATCATTAGTAAATTTATAGATATTATGTCTTTTCCAGAAGTTCCTCTTCTTCCACCTCTGTGGAAGACATACATGAGAGAAGGAATAAAGTGAACTAATCTATGAAAATTTGAAGTATTTATCTGAAACCTTCACACTCATGAACCCACAATATCCTTTCCATGTAGGGATACTCAGTACTCAGAGGACTGTAACCCCAAAACTGCTTTTTGGACTAAGAGAAGAGCTTTGTGGTGGCTGTCTGCAGGAGAAGGTACCAATGAAACAATGAGTCTGACAGAGACCAGGGTGGTCAGGGCAGGGCTCTGTCCCTTCACAACTCCTCTCTGCCCAGCCTCCTGCTCCACACTGTCCTGAGTGACTCCATCTCAGCATTCAGAACACATTTTCCACCCCAGACCCATTTTCTTGAGCACACAAGCCTGTCTCAGTGCAGAGCACATCCCCAGGGTTGTGCTGCTCTGCTGGAAGCTGCAGCTGGGTATTCCACACCCCGTGTTCAGGCCCCAGTCCCCTGTCCTGTACACTCACAGTGATGGTACCCAAACCTCAACTCCTGCCTCCCAGGACCTGCAGCACGGCTGTCTCCCCTGCAAGCTGGAACTGGGGATTTACTGCAAAGGAGGAGAGGGAAAAAACATTTAAATAGTGTCAGAGGGAAGCAATTAGCCCAGATCAAAGTCAGCTTACACTTGCTGCCCCATGCCAGTTGGCACAGGCGTGGTCTGCAGTGCTCAGCACTGCATTTTCCTGGAAGAGCTTTGGAGAGTCCTGTTTCAAGCACTTGAGTGCTCCTAGTTGTTCATTTCCATAATGACTCACTGAACACAAGCAGCTTTGTTTTCCTCCCACACAATAAGCTATAAATCCAGAGTAATTTGATCCATTTTCTTCAAAGGCACAAGAGGCCATGGGCACACGTGTGCATAAACACACACAGACACACACGTGCACAGACGCTGTCAGTCCAACAGATCCACCACCATCCTCCTGGCACTGCTGAGCTGAGACTGTTCCTGCTGATCCAGAAGCTGCTTCTGAGTCATCCCAGACTTGTGCCATAAATGATGATTTTGTTGAAAGGGACACAGGGCATTTGATGCTTTAAAAGGCATCACAAAGTAAAGAGGAGAGTTTTCCCTAAAGAGATGTGACTTTATTCATCTTTGCCTTCCTGCCAGGAGACAGCAAAGGAAGATGCTTCTTTTGAAGAGAGGAGACATGAGCGTATTTCCAAAACCCCTCAGGTGCACATGAAAAAAAGGCAGCAGCCAAACTTTGATCATGTTCATTCCTCCCTTGTCTTAGAGACTGACAATATCAGTACAAGGATGATGGGATAATCCAGGTTTAAGGAGGACAGGACCTCCTCAGGAGGTCTCCAGCCCAAACCCCCAACTCAGAGCAGGCTCAGATTGTTGCTCGGGGTTTTATCCATTTGGGTCTTGAAAAATCTCTAAAGATTTGCCCACCCTCACTGGGAAACTTCTCCCACTGCTTAACTATCTTTATGAGGAAAAACTTTCTCCTTGTATCTTATCTAGCCCTTTTTTGTTACAGCTTGGGCATTGTCCTCCTGCCTCAAACCGCTGTGAAAGGCCTGGGTCTATCAGCAACCTCGAGGTACTGGCAGGCTGTTGTTAGCTCCATCTAAAATCCTTTCTGTATTCTGAAATAGGTCCTCTTGCATCTCTGCTCATGGAGAGTGCTCCAGACCTGAGTGTCTCAGTGTCCCTGTGGCTGATCTTGCTTTAGTTTATTAATATTTTCTGTATGGGGTCACCAAACTGGGCACAGCATCTGGCTGTGGTCTAAGGAGTGCAAAGTAGAAGGGAGTAATCATTTCCCTCAAAATGTCCCTTTTCCCTTTGCTGCCAGGTCACACACCTGGTTTGGGTTGATTTCAGCTTCCATGAGCTCCCTGGGTGCTTTTCCACACTGTTGCTCCTCAGCCAAGTCCTCACCTTCAGGAGAGGGCCCAGGTGGCCAAAGAACTCCCCTTTTCTGCCCAAGACATCTGGGGAACATCTCAGTAGCTCTGCTCACAGGTGTCCTAGATTATCATCAAACCATTAATTCACTGTTAAAAGGCAAGATGAACATCACCCAGTGCAAATTCAGAAATGTTTGTTTTTCTTGACATGAGGGTGTGTGGCTCACCTCCAGCGTTGTTGTCAAGGGCTACCCAGGGAAAATGGAAGTTCTTGCTTATCTGTTTTGCTCCCAGGTGTTTTTTTCCTGGGCTGATTTCCAAAGCGCTGAACTCAAATCCATTTCTGAGCAGCCCCATGCCTCAGGATGGCATCAGCAGCTACTTTGGCTGGTGTTCCCAGGAAAGGTGAACATTCTGTCATCCCAGCTTGGATGTGCCAAATGCTGTTGGTGACAGATGTCAGCTCTCCACCTGTGGGACCAGACAGTGCAGCAGAGACAGGAACAGCACCATTTCTGTCAGGAAATTGAACTGTGAACTTCTTCCAAAGTCATGTGGGTGAGAGCTTGCAGGGTCAAAAAGATTACTTTTATTTTCTTCAAGCTGCCCAATTTCCTTGGATAGGTACCAAATGCAGAGGGAGATCTGACTTACTGAAACACAGACCAAATTTAACTGTCTTCACCTGTTTCTTGGTCTTAAATGTTCAGTGAATATTACTGTAAGTGAAACTAGGGACATTGCAGCAATAGCCCAAAACACTGGCACTGATACATTCCAGTGGTTCACTGGGGTAAACTCTAAGCTCTAAAGAACCCCAGAGTTAACCATTAGTTCCCTGCTTCAGCTGCCTGGTTTCTTCTCTGCTCAGATCTGCTCCATGCCTGGATGTCTGCTACTCTCCTGGCAGCACCAATAATCTGCAATTTCTGACAGAATCCACTGCACTACAAATCCCTTTTTCATCCCAGCATGGCCCAGAGCCAGAGCAAACACAGAAATATTCACTGTACATATTTCTAACCTGTAGATGTATCCCTCCCTTCAGACACAAGATGCCAGGGGCTGTGCATTGCTGCTGTGATGAATAAAAGCACTGACCTGGTCCTCTCTCATCAGGCACTCCAATCTCCTCCCTCCCTCTGTTATCTCTTTGAGGCACATGCATCCAAATGAGTTAGGAGAGGGAAAAGTTACAAAATGTTGTTTATTTAAATTTGCTGTTCATTGCCAGCAAGCTCAAAATTGAATGTGACAGAGCTGTAAGGACAGCTGTTAGGACAGATGTTCCTCCCCCCAATAAGCAGGGCATTTATAACAGTGTTTTCCAAGAGATTTTTTTCCAAGAGTTTCCAGCCACTGAAAACAAGAGCAACATAAATCTGGAGGTTTAACTCAAGCTCGTGCTGAAAAGTCCTATAAAACATCTGAAGAAAATTCAGAATAAGCTTGATAAAAGTGGAAATAGTAAATTACTCCAGCTCTGTTGAGATGCAGGTGAGGGAGAACATAGTACACAATATTTTTCTTACTGCTGTGGCAAAGCCCAGAGGACAGAGAGTGGAGGGACAGGGATCCAGTGTAAGACCACGAGCTGAGAAGGGAGGCAATTCTTCTTGCATTTCAATGCCCCCTTGTTAGGATTTTATCACGAGGTTGTTCTTCTTCTTGGCTCATTATCAAACAGGATTTCCTTCCCTGATCTTGGCTACAAAACCACTCTCAAGACAGGTGTCCTCTTCCTTTCCAGAGTAAAGAAAATGATGCCTGGTTTTATTGAAACCAACCCAGAGTAGTGTTTATTATTGAAAATATACAGTATTTTTGAACACCACATAAAAAGCCTGGTAGATACAACTGCTCTAGTTCAAAATGCTCAATAGATACCTTTGTGCAGCACGCAGCATTATCCTCGGAACACAAACATCCTCTTCTCACCATCATTATCTTTACAGTGCTTCCCTTCTGTGTTTTTTAAACCCAGAAAAGTTGTCCTTCCCCACCCCAATCCTCAGAGCTGAAAAAACCCCACTTTCCAAAGGCTTTCCACTTACACTGTGCTGGAAGCGTGGGGCTAAGAGGAATGAGAGTATTTTGTAGAGCTACTTAGAGCTACTCCTGTCCTTTGAAAATCGGTGTAAGAGCAGGGCTTGATGCTTGGCCAGGCACAGTGCCCTGTGTGGAACACTCCAGCGATGTCCTGACAATTCCCAGTCAGTCCAAGAGAGAAATGGGGAAGGCAGATAAATTCAGGCTTTTCACACCACCTTTCAGATGCTCTTTTTCTTGCTGCCACAAGTTCTCAAATGACAGTTTTGCAGAGAAGAAACTTTTTACAAAGAAAACAAGAAAGGGATGGGCTATTATACACCAAACTTTTGAAAACATTTGGAATCAATGTACAGGGGGAGATGGGCAGTGTGTTAAAAACAGTCTTTGTTCACCGCAATACGAAAGGGGGAATAAAAACAAAACAAAAAAAATTAAAAAAAATGAAAGGAAGGAGAAAAAAATTGATTATTCCTGCCAGTGTGCTGTTTTAGACTGTGCATTGTGAATTTCCACAGGATGCAGTCAGGGTTGAACCTGTTCCTTCTTTGAATCTGTTTTATCACCACCAACTCCAAGAGGCTTTTTCCTGGTTTCCTCAAAGCAGCATCGCAGACGTGGGAGATGAGAGCCCGCCGAAACGGGACGGGCCCCTCACTGAAAAGAGCCCAGTGAGGACAAAGGAGGAGAGTTTGCAGAAAGGGGCTTTGGGCTGGGAGTGAAGACAGGAGAACTCTGAAGGCCACGGGGTGGTTGGTGGGCGGTGTCGGGGTGGTCACACGGCCGCCGTCTGCTTGATGCTGTGGAAGCTGATGCGCGTGGGGGACGTGGGGATGGACATGGCTCGTGCCACACGCACCCGCAGCGAGTGGTGGTCCTGCCAGCGGTGCCACCTCTTCCTGGCAGCAGAACGGACCTGGGGGGAAACACAGGGGAGAACGTGAAGGGAGAATTTCAGGTGTCCTCTAAGAAGGGACAAGCTGGGAAGTGCTGAGACAATATTGTCAAGGCACTGAAGCACACAGGTGATGCCTTGGGCCTCTAAAGGGGGGCAATGATGCCTTAAGTTTTAGCTTTCATATTTTCCAGATTCTGTACTGCATTGGTATATAGCTCAGAACTTCATGTAAAGTGTGAGCAAGTTCTCCTCACAGCTGAGTCAGACACAACAATCCTTTTGCAGCCCCAGAACCAAGGACACCGCAGCAGCTTCAGGCCCAAAAAGTACAAACAGCTGCAAAGTGAGGAGAACAAATCTGGGAGGATGGGACTGCATCACCTGCAGCTGGAATTGGACAATTATCCCAAATATGGGAACACACCAAACTTACAGAAGTGTGAAAACTTGAGACCAGGTGTCCATCTTGGGTGGAGCCACAGCTGGGCTCTTGTACTGCCCAAGGTGCATCCTTTAAAAGCCTTTTAATAAATTCCCACTTTAGTCCTTTAACCCTTTCTAGCCTGTTCCAGGGAGCCTCTCAAGGCATCACAGGGGCTGATTCACATGCCTGAACCTGAGCCCCTAATTCATTGATATTCTCTTAAGTACTTGGTTTGGGGAAAACCATGGCTTTTACACACCTCATGTCTCATATCTGGTACCTTAAATACCCCAGAGCATCTGCAACTGAATCGAGCCCTCAGGATGGGTGGACCTGATGGTGCATCCAAGGTCTGTCCAAGACCTGATGGGATTCTTAGAGAGCCCCATCCCAGCACAGGGGATCTAAGCAAACACGGGTTCTGCAGCACAGGCACACCTGACCCAGCCCCTGGGAGCACCTCATGCAGGCACTGGAAGTTGCTCCACACCAGCAGAAGGTCATCCTCAAGCAGGTGCTGACCAATAGGTCACATGAACCTTGCATTTCAGTGCAATTTTTATTTTTTGCATGGAGCATAGAGAGAGCCCAGGAACTTTGGCTCAAATGTATACATACATAAACAAGAGAAAAACAGCAGAAAGGAACCCTGAACCTCAACCACAGTGGGAGGGAAGGCTTGGAATAATCCTAAAATAGACCAAATTCCTGCCAAATCCCTGGCAGAGAAGACTCAAAGTCAGAACCTGGCAGGAAGCATTTGGACCAATTTCTGGATATTCTTGTTGGTATCTGCTTACGGTAGAGAGGAGAGCAATTCAGACCCCTAACCTAGGGAGATAAAGAAATCTACAAAATTAGGTGAGAGGAATCTGGGCCCAGCTTCCTGGAAAGTCCAAAGCCTGATGTATTCATGACACTTGGAAAGGCTGCTGATGTTCTGCTGCCAACCTGAAACCTGGTGAACTTTGAAAGAAGCATTGTTACATAAAACTTCTATATCAAGCCAGGGCCTCCTTTACCAAAACTGTGTTTTTTTACCAAGAGGGGTTATAAATAATGTAACATAGACATTGCACCTCAGCTACTGACCTGCAGGTCTCCCTCTGACCAAGAGGGAACCAGTCACTGTGGTCAAAGGGGATGATTCATCTCCTTCTAAAGCAGGTGTCCAAAATAAGCCAGATATTTGTGGTCTGGTGAAAAATAACTATTTCCTTTAAGTGTTTATGAAATGAGTCCAGATAATCAGCTCTGTTTTAGATGTCTGGATTATAAATAAGTTCAGACAATATTGATATCTAACTCTGGATATTTTTTAGTCTTTAATGTACTTGTTTTCACTGCATCCCCCAAATGTAAAGGATTGTTTTAAGCCCCATTTTACCACAGACAAAGGGAACTTTGGGTATTATCAGCAGTGATGCTGTTGTGGAGGAGACCTCAAAGGGATCAGCTGCCATGAAGAGAGGAGACATGAGCCTATTTCCAAAATCCCTGAGGTGCACATGAAAAGAAGGCAGCAGCCAGACTTTGATCATGTTCCTTCCTCCCTTGTCTCAGAGGCATGACTGACAATATCAGTACAAGGATGATGGGATAATCAAGAGAGGAGCTTCCAGAGCCTGTGAAGCCCACGTTGGTACAGGTTCTCAGCTATCAGCACCTGAGGTCAATCACAGCCACCCTGGGTGTGTCTGTCGCCACCTCTGGGGCTGCAGGGAAGGTGGAGCTGAAAAAAAAAATGCCCAAAGATGAAGAGTCACTGCTTTTCTTCATTTCTTTGAAAGCTTGGGAACTGTCTGCAGGGGTCTGTGAGGCCAACTCAAAATACAAGGAACACAGGCAGTCTGCACCCACTTCAGAGCAGCTCAAACATCCTGTCTGAGGGTGCTCAGGTGAGTTGAAGAGCTCCAGGATTGGAGGTGTTTCCAACCCAAACCACACCCTGTCATTTTTAGGTGCCCCAGATGAACAGGGTGAAGGTTTGACAGTTAAAACATAGGAAAGTTCACAAGGAGGACACAGAAAGGGGGAAACTGCCCTCCTTGTCTTGGCTGGCTTCAATTTTCCCTTTTCTGGGTGGGATTTCAGAGCCCTGGGCTGTAGCACTGCTGTGGTCTGGCAGCAACATCCCCCCTCATCAGAGCTTTGTCAATGAAATGCACTCCACTGCAGCTTTATGAGTACCAGCCTGGAAAACAGTTTTGCAATTGCCTCTTTGGTGCCTTTTCAGGGAATCCTGAACCTGGAAATGTGGCTCTTCCATCAGAGCCCTTCTAGAAGGCAGAGATTGGGCAAATCAGAGCAGAGGATTTCTTTCTTTGGTTGTTTTCTCAGCTATCTGTGCTACTGCCATGGTTGAAATGGTGGTTTTTGGTCATACCTTGGACTCAGTGACCTCAGAGGTCTTTTCCAACCTAAGTGATGCTGTGATTCTGTGATTTAAGATAAGGAGATGCAGATTTCTAAGGTAAGGTGAGGAGAAAGCCACACTGGGTTTCTCCTAATTTTGAATCAATTATTTCTTTCAATATAGATGATAATGTTTTTTACACTTAGTAGGGGTCAGACAGAACTTAATGAAACAAAGATTATGAGGGAATAGAACTGAAGAAAGAGACAATACCCAGTGAAAGGGGAATTAATGACAGCACTTCCAGGAAGAACATGATCATCATGAATGATTTGGAGATGAGAACAAGAACAATGTGGTTAAACAACAGTGCAGAGGATTTCTGGAAGAGCCTCTCTTGAAGCAGTAGCTGCAACACCTCTCCACCAGTTTCATGATGGGGTTTGGTCAGGTTATAAAATGAGTTGAATGACCCAGTTATTTGAAATAGCAGAGTCAGGATGGATGGACTCAATCACAAACTGCAGCAGCCTGGACTGCTGACCATCATCCCCTTCTCACCAAACTGACCTCCCTGGCTCACTGAACACTCCTGGGAAAACAGGACTATTTTCAAACCTACCACGGTTCCACCTGGAGTGGCAGAGGGATTCTGGATGGGAGGGAGGATACAATTCACACTCAAAGGTAAATCCCTGTGCCAGAGTCCATGCAAGGGGGGAGGCACCTCCCCTGAAAGACTCACACCTGGTCTTGGCCAATTATCACAGAATCACTGAATGGTTTGGGGTTGGAAGAGACCTTAAAGTCCATTTCATTCCAACTCCCTGCCATGGACAGGGACACCTTCCACTGGACCAGGCTGTTCCAAGCCCCATCCAATTACTGGATCCATTATTTATGTTTCCAACACAGACAGTGGAGAAAGAGAGACAATTCCCCTGAGGATGGCACTTAGACACATGGAATGAAACAGTCCTTGCTCCTCGGGGTACAAACCCAGCTTAACTGAATGCTGGGCACCTCAGACAAGTGGTTTAGGTAATACATGAAGTGTCAGACCATTGTCATGAGAAATTGTCCCATGAAGACCTGAGATGCAGAGGGATGTTGCTTCTGGAGTGCTCCTTTCTCCCCAGATACCACTGAATGCTGAGATATTGTTAGAGAAAATCTTCCTCCTTTCTCCTGCAGTGATATCTTGTTTATTTTTTTTCTGAGCAACCAGTGTGTAGAGATACTTACTCAGCCAGTGAAGCCAGATTAGATTTATTTGTGCTTCAAGCCAACCAAGTCAAAAAGAGCCACCTGGAGATAAAGACGTGAGTCTAAACGAGCAGTTGGCTTTTGTGATACAGTTTGAGATAGGATTAAAAAAAACAAAAACAAAAATGCTGTCTTCTTGTACAGCTGGAGGAGCCACTCCTAACAGACTGGGCACGTGGAAACAGGCTCTGCACTCTCAAGGGTAAGGGCAAAGCATTTTTTAATGACAGAATAATTAACTATAATTAGTATGTGACCAGAGGGTAAGCGGAAAAGGTTAAGGTCAAATTTATATCTTGTACTTGAACTGAGAAACAAAATGCTAGGTTAGCTAGTTTTTTGAAAAAAAACAAAACAAATGTGTTAAAAGACACCAAAAAAGCTATTGCAGAGTGGAAGAGTAAAAGAAAAGGAGATTGCAAAATATCAACTGTCAAACATGATTGTTAATCTCTGTAAGAGCAGCCTCCTCTATTATTAAACATTTCTAGAGTCAGGACCATGCCCCAGAGTCAGCATTAGCACATCTGTGACCTGAAATTGCCAGCACTGGCTTGTAACAGCCCAAGGATGCTCCAGGCTGTCAGCAGTGCTTAAAGCTCCAGAAGGAGTCTTGGGAACACAAATTATCAGCCTCACCTCTGTGGAACTTTAGTTGTTTGAGAGAATCAAAATTATCCCTGCTCTGAGCACTGAGCTGGGTGTTGACCCTTGGTCTTTTTCTTGCCAATAGGTTCTCTTTCAGAACAACCCTTTTCAGCTCTTTCTGCTCTGTGTGCAGTGAATAATCACAGTTTCTGAGCATGTGGTCAAATCAGGTTTGCCAACATTATTTGTACACATAGAGTGTGGGCACTGCTTTGGAATAGTCAAGAAAAAGGGTTTGGATAATGGGATGAAAGGAAATCAGTGGGTGACAGATTTTTTTCTTCTGACTGGATCACCTAACCAGGGGACTGGATTAAATAAAAA